ATAAATTCCCAAGGCCGTCTTCAGCTATATAATGGTCTTATTTTTTTACATAGAATCCAGAATTACTTTGTATGCAACATGTCCTATGGTGTAAGAAAATACACCTAAAAGAGCAACAAAAATCAAAACAAAAACGAATAAATAAATAATCAGAATCACATGATGATCAGATGATGTCACACAAACCATCGAATTTGAACATCATATCCAAAACCATAAAATTCTAATTTGGAAATTCATTCAAGTCAATAAAATTACCAAATCTGTAATTCTATTTTGGAAATTTATTTATTATATTTTCGATTTTGACTTTTTGATTTTGTACATATTTGTTCAACTTTTTTAAAAAAACCACCAAACCGATTTTTTAAATTATTTTAAAACATTTATTTATTTTTTAAAAAATTAAATAGATGGATATTAAATGGTTTAAAGTTATACATAAAAAAACAACTTTTTTCTTTGGTAAAAAAGAAACTAAACTTGGTTTTATGTTTCAGAATAAGGATGGTGAATTTATCGATTTTCCTGAAAATGACTATTCAATAAGTTATTATTTTAAAAATGGTGATATCAAAGATTTTAAAGAAGTTAAAAATACAATTATATTTGATGAAGTTAAGATGATACGAATTTGGAGATGTAAGAATAATAGGTTGCCAATAAAGTTAATTTTTGAACTTGAAGTTGTAAGTGTTTATTTTGAATTATATTTTCTGAAGTCATTTGCATAAAATTCTAAGATCATTTTATTTTGTTGATTAACAGGAATATTCTTAGTTATTTTGTTAATTTTTTGTTTGATTTCTTTATCTCGTTCTTGTTGTTCTATAAACATTTTTTTAAAAGGATTATTCTTGTCCATTTTCTTGAAAGTTTCAGGTGAAATATATTGAATCGACATTTTATTTTTTTATTTTATTTTTTTTATATTTCTCTTATATTTATATTGTTTTTATAACTACATATATTTTTAGATTACTGTATTTATAGTTTTTTTTTAGTTGGGATTCAAAAATATTATAAAAATATAAAATAGTTTATTTTTTTTACGTTTTATATTTTATATATTTGTTCTTTATTTAAATTTATTTACAATATATTAAAAATTTAATTGTTTAAATAATTAAAATTTTACTTCTTTTCCATTTAAATTTCCAGTATTTTTATCGTGTTCCAATTTGAAATCAATAGCTAATTGTTTCGTTTGTTCAGAAGTTCTGTTCTTTGTAATACTAAACCATTTAGTTTTTCTTTTATTATTTTCATACCAATGAAAAATCCAAACTTTTCGAGTTTTATTAAAATAAATTCCATTATATTTTGAAGTATTTTTTCTATTTAATTTACAATTTAATGCATTTTCTCTATATGTTGTTTTTCGAAGATTACATTTACAATTGTCAAAACCATTTCTGTTTATATGGTCGATCATCTTCCATTCAGGATAAATTAAGCGGTGGAGTGATAAAAGTTTATAATGATGATATGTTTTAATATAAAATATATTTTTAATTATATTACAATACCAAGTATATTTTTTCAGGAGATGAAAATTCTCTTTATCAAGTAGGAAAGTAATTTCAGGCTTTTGAGTTTTTACTTCTAAATAGATTGTAAAATTGATTTTTACAAGACGATATTCATTCAATTTGAGTCTTGGTTTATCAGGATTCTTGTATTTTTCCCAGTTAGTTAAAATCTCAAAATCTTTGAATTTCTCAAACCAATTCATTTTTTTTTTGTTAATAAAAATCTATAAAATCCGTCTTTTTATAATTTTATTTTCTCTGAGTCAAAAAAATTTTTTTTAAAAATTTTTTTGTAAATTAACTTAACAATGCCTTTTATTTTTCATTCTGCTGAAAACTATACTTTTCATTTTACGTTCAGTCAAAAAGATTTAAAAATTCATGTTACAAAAGGAACAGGAACTCGACAACTTACACTTACGCGCAAGTTGAATCAAAAAACTATTCATTTATCATTAAAACAAACGATTTAACAAATATTCGAAACTATATAAATGCAGAAAAATTATTACTTTAAACAAAAATGTTGAAGGTTATATAATAATACAATAATTTATTAAAACAATGATTTATTTTAACCTTCTATCAACAATTTACAATTATTATAAATAATTTTTTAATTAAAAAAAAATAAAATTTAAATAAATTGATATGTATTCGCTATATATTTTTACAAGATAAATCTTACAAAAATATACATTGCCCAAAGCGTACTACAAGGAAGAACATATCACACGCTTCTTAAAAATTGAACGAAGAGCAAGAATTCAGGGGAGGAATTATATCAGCCCCCAGACCAATTTTGATATAATCCTTATCTTATGCTCATCCGTTATAACCCAGAGATCGCTTTGCTATCAGGTAGCCAGCCTCGACATCTCAGGAGTCCTTGTGAGTGTTGCTCACAAGTCTTTGTTTGAAATTCTTTTTTATCTTTAAGACCAAGAAAAAAATAAAGCGTTCGTTCGAAAACTACTAACTAAAAAAAGAACCAAGCCATGCATTCCACGCTACAACTTTCGTTTAGTAAAGAGAAAATTTACCAAGGCCAAGTTGTACTAAAGACCTTCTGACGAATGAAAAAATTTTTGAATTTGCAACTTCTCGACTATATCGTTTAGAAATTTTATGCATATAATTTAACAGGGATTCTATTAGCTTAGTTTAAACTCATCAATATGAGGGAAACTTTAGAATAGTTTAAACTGTTAAATTTCAGAGGCCCTATCCAACGAAATGTGTTTTCATCAAAGTTGCAAGTTGAGGAAAAAATTAAAAAAAAGGAAAATCGGTAGTTTATAGAAAAATTTATGATCTGCATCATATTACCTTTTTAAAATTTTTACTTAAATTCGGGATTAAAAATAGGAAATAATGATTCATATTCTTTTTTAATAATATTTTTCCATATTTTTTCGTTTAA